GAGAGAGAAACACGAACAACCTATCAAGAAGAGCTCCAGGTCTATGGACAAGATACCAAGATATATCATGGTTAAATTCAAACACCTTCTTCTTTGCATGGAATTATTCTATGGAATAATAGTATGGTTTCATGGGAGTGAGGTGAACTAAGCTTTTGAGAATCAAATCAATCAGAGAGCATAGTGAGATGAAATGTTATATATCCTATGCACCCAAAAGAGACAAGGAGAAAACCCATATGCAAGGTTTTGTTTTGTTTTTTGTTTATTTGGTTTTGGTACTGGGCAACTGAAGTCAGAGATGCTTTACCACTGAGCCACATCCCCAGCTCTTTTTTATTTTTTATTTTGAGACAGGGTCTCACTAAATTGCGGAGAGCTTTGCTAAATTGCTGCAGCTGAATTGCTAAATTGTGATCCTCCTGCCTCAGCCTCTGGGATTGCTGGGATTACAGTCATGTACCACTGTACCCAGCCTGGTTTTGGATAATAGAGACTCTGTTATGATTTGGATGTGAGATGTCCCCCAAAAGCTCATGTATGAGACAATGCAAGAAATTTCAGAGGACAAATGATTGGGTTGTAAGAGTTTTAACCCAATCAGTGAATTAATCACCTGATAGAGATTAACTGAGTGGTAACTGAAGTGGTAGGGTGTGGCTGAAAGAGGTGGAAATTGGGGGTGTGACTCTGGGGTATATATTTGTATCTGGCAAGTGGAGACCTCTCTTTCTGCTTCCTGATAACCATGTGAGCTATCTCCCTCTGCCAAACTCCTCCGCCCCATGATGTTCTTCCTAACTCCCAGCCTCGAGGAATGGAGTCAGTCTTCTATGGACTAAGACCTCTGAAACCATGAGCCCTCAAATAAACTTTTTCTCCTCTACAGTTGTTCTTGTCAGATCTTTTAATCACAGCAGTGAAAAAGCTGACTAAAACAGACACCACCCCAAATCACACTAATAGCACTAACAAATGCTCTTTTTTATTGACAACGGTACCAGATGAAAAAAAAATTACTGTAATTTAATGTGGGGGAAATAGTTTATGCCATTTTAAAGACGGCAGTTAACTGACTCAGGTAAAAACTTGCCCTAATAGTGACATTGTGCTAAATTTAGATAAACTATTAGTTGGCATTCATGTGTGGTAAGTGATTTAGATAAAAAAGTGGTAATTACTACTTGTGTTCTTTAATAGGACACCGTAACTAATACATTTCCAACTTACTAATGAAAAGATGCATCTCAATACAAAATCAGCACAAAACTGGAAACTCATAGTGAAAAAGTAGGATGCTATTGGTAATGCCATATGAACCAAGAATCCAATCAATTGCGAAGTTCCCATGGTTATAACTGATTGTGCCTTGGGTTAACATTCATCTGAAATTTTGTTTCTAATATTTTTCTTCTACAAAAAAGGAAATATTCCTTGGATCTGTTTCAAAATTTTTTTCTCTCGTTATGCTTTTCATGAATCCAATCAATGGGCCAGAAATCAGTGAGGTCCATTCTGAGCACCAAGAGACAATGGGTCAGGAAGGGTCCCAAGCCAATAAGCACTCCAGTAAACCAGAAACTGGGGTTAGGGCAACAAATGTGGGAGACCAGGATTGTTTGAACTTCAAGAGTCTAGGGCTGTAGGCATATATAACCCATGCCTGGCTTGGATGGCAAGAGATGAAATAGCATATACATATTAAGTTCCACAGGGATAAAGCACATAGTGATAATGAAAATCTGCTGTGACTTTTTGGTGCAGTGTTCTGCTCCAAAATAGCAGCTACACAGCTATTCGAAGATTCATCTTCAAGAGGCTGGGCTGTCATCTGTTAATCCAGAAGACCTGACTTTGCAGAAATCACCTAAATGAGAGTGGGAAAGCACAGAAACACTATACAGAATTTACTTTAAAAAAATTGCTTCATGGGTAAGAGCCAAGATAGTTTTCTGAGTTTAAAATTACTACTGTGATTAATCCTACTCCCTATTTGTTATGTTTTAATGATTTCAAACCCTGCCTGATCAAACCCCCTCCTTCCTCACCAGTGGTTAAACACTATTCTGAAGTAGGCGTATATCATTTCCACTCACATCTTTTTATTTCTGCCAAATATTTTCATAACCATGAGCAATAAAGCATATCATTCTGTCATAAAAATACGTTCCAAAAAAGGTTAGGTAGAGAAGTCTAATCTTAATTTCTGAAAGCTATAGATGTTTTACCTAGATAGGATCTTTCACAGTTAAAGCTTGTGTAAGTTAAAAAAAAAAAAAAGTTACCATTTGCTCCTTTCAAGCATTGTCTTGAGTCACAAAGTCATCTTGCATTACACTGCCCTAGGACTTGTTAATGGCATTTATACTCAGTGCACAGCATTTTAACACCTTCAAACAAAGCATTTTTATGTCAATTTCATTAACAGTGACACTGAGGAAGCTGCTCAGCAGCACATCAGAATGCTAGAGTAACTCAAGTCCATCAGATCTGAAAATCATTGCATCATGGTAATAAAACACTTAAGAGCATGCCCCAGGGAAAGACAAATCCGACAATTAAACCTTCAATGCCAATTGGTACTACCACTTTCTTAGCACAAGTCATATTTGCAATGTTAAGATCAAAAAATTATTTCACTAACCAGAATAAGCATATTCTTAAATAGATTTTCCAATTAGTTACAAGTTTAAAGCAAATAAATAAATAAAAATACCACATGGAAGATAAATTATTACTCTTCCAAGGTACGATTTACAAGAGAATTAGAAAAATAATCATATCTATGTAAGCAATTTCTTCAAATTAAATAAACTAGTAATCCCTTTTTATGGGCATGGGGAAAGTAGAGGATAACCCCCAAATTAAATGGCAAATTCTAGGCAGTGCCCATATTAAACAATCTCTAAAAGGAACCAGGGTTCCTTGGAGAACTGGTAGATTCCAGAAAAGTACAAGATGAGCCTGGAATATCTTTGTCAGAAAGTAAGCAAGTGCTCACAGATACATAAGGAAAAGATAAAAGAACACAGGAGCCAGCCTGAAGAAGCTCTCACTGGCCAACCCTGGACAATTTGAACAATGAAATAAATAATGGTAAAATAGACCAAAGCCTACTAAATAAAATAGCAAGCTCTGTGAATAAATAAGTGTCAAAGAGAAAGCTTTTTTAAAATGGTACTAGGGATTGAACCCAGAGGCCCTTTTACACTGAGCTACATCCCAACACTACTCCCACTTTATTTTAAGACACGGTCTCACTAAGTTATTCAGGGGCTTACAAAATTAAAGATGCTGGCCTGGAACTTGTGCTTTTCCTGCCTCAGCTTCCTGACTTGCTGCCACATTGTCCAGCTGAGAAAACTTACTTTTATAATAAAAAGCCAATAGATACAAAACAGAAGAAATGATAAAATATGACAGCCATGTTTGGGGAACCAACAGAATAATAATTAATTCAGAAAAAAAGTTGAATTGTAAAACCAGTGAATGAAACTATTATGCAGCACAGAACATTCACAATATCAAAGTACCTTCCCAATATACTTATTAATAACAAGGTGGGGAAAGAATTTCACAGTGTAGAAGGCTGGCCAGCTCCATCTTAACCAAGGGACCAAAGTGAGCATCCCCAGCAATGGACAAATGAAAATCATGTAATGGGACAGGAGAAAAACACATAATTTTTCCCATTGTCCTATAAAAATGCATAAAAATAGCATAATCATGAGACAACATCAGATAAATCTTACATTTATGTAGGGGGTCACTGTACAACCTATCTGACCTGCCCTTTTCAAAATTGCCAAAGCCATAAAAGTCCGAGAAAGACCAAGGAACTACTCTGGACTGAAAGAGACTAGAGAGCTATGGAAACAAAATGCAAAACACAATGCTGGAAAGGATGCTGGACCAATAAATGACAAATGGCAAAATGTGAATGGGTTCTGATAATCAGACAGTGTTGGTATCAGTGTTAATTTCCTAAATTGGATGGTTATATTTTCGTTACACAGGCAAATGTCAATGTTTTAAAAAAAAAAAAACATACATACACATACACACACACACATACATATGTATAAGTGTGTGTGTGTGTATATATATATACACACACACACACTTACTTAAGTATTCAAAGGTGCTAGGGTGCTGCTATAGTTTGGATCTTGAATGTTTCCCAAAGGTCCACGTGTTGAAGGCTTAGTCTCCAGCGTGATACAAATGGGAGGTGGTGAACCTTTAAGAGGTGGGAGGTCTTCAGATAATCTAGGGATGCACCCTTGAAGGGAACTCAGGCTCTTATCTCTTCCTCTCATGCTTCCAGGCTATAAAAGGTGAGTGGTTTTGCTCTGCCACATGCTCCTACCATGATGTACTCCCTCACTATAGGCCCAAAGACATAGGGCCAATTGGTCATGGACTGGAACCTCTAAAACTCTGAGCAAAAATAAAGCTTTCTCTTTATAAGTTGCTTATCTCAGGTATTCGTTATAGTGATGAAAAGCTGACTGACACAGTCACCATTTACTTTCAATTAGTTCTGTAATTAAAATGTTCTATACCATTCTTATACCTTTTCTATAATATTGAAATTATTTCAAAAGAAAAAAAGGTATATGTATGCTATAATTATAGCTATTTATAAATAGAACATAAATAATGGAAATAAAACTATCAAAAGAAACCACAGTGGTAAAGTACTAAATTGAATGGGTACTATTTAACTTTTGAAATTTGTTTATTGTCATATTTCCCTAACAGTAATAACTTTTAAGACAATTACACATATGTTCATGTTTAATTCAACAAGACAACAGATATTATAAAGAAGCCCTCCAGCAAAACAGAAGAAAATAGCATAATGCAGCCAACAGTCTTCACCCTATGCATACCTAAGTAGTAATTAATTTTAGTATGCACATGCTCCTCCACTGCCTAATTAACTTCCTTTCTTGAACAATATGTACAAAGAACTCTGAAAACCAAAAAACAGATACCTTGATTTAGATGTGTAGCCTCCGTAATTTGAACACCATTCACGGAGCACTGAGACCCACTCAGGGGTATGAGAGTCACGGTCCCCCCAACATTTTCAAAGACACAGTGCTCACTCTCTAAGTCAAGGCCATGAAGAACTAAGTTGGAAAAACAAAGGATAAAGGTTAACTTTTTAAAAATTTTGCTTTTGATATATATGACAATGATTTCCAACCATTAACTTATTTTTTATTTTAAATAATCTTCCTTTTCCAAGAAAGTTTTGTAAAGTAGATATTTATGTTTAGTGGGGAAAAAAAAAAACAACTAAAATTTAGGAGTCCAGGGTATTAACTAATAGAAATAGAGACATACTCTAATTGTTACCTTGAAGGGTCTGCCCTCATCTGTATAAGGAAACAAGTTCCTAGATGTTAACTTTCTTTTTCTTTCTTGAGGAGAAAATAGTTGAATAACTTGTTTTAACTGAATTGAATTGCTCTGTTGGATAATAAATTAATTTCTTTTATCAGCCACCTAACGAAGGGCATAAGGGCTCTGTGCATCTAGGACTACTTATGAATTCCATAATTACAGATAATGCATTCCAGGAACAGAAACCACAGGTGAACTGAGCATGGCATGGATCTCTGGAAGCTCAAGAAGATACCAGAAGCTATACTGAGATGCCTATCACCAAAACTGTGCAAATCTTAGACCACACAGAGCATGCAGTTGCTAAGGTTTATGTAATTATGTATCACTATCCTGTGTTCTTCTTATCTGAGGAATGGCCATCTGCAATATGAATGCCTGTCAAAAATAAACATACATGCTTTTAGGGAAAGTTCCTGGCAAGGTTTCAGGAGTACAGACCATGCACTTTCTACTCACTCCACAGAATATACTACTCAACTTCTCTGGTCACAGAAAATGTATTCTTATCACTTATCATCATTAATAACTACCCCAAATGTCAAACACATAGTTCAACCAAGAGGCCTGAGTCAAGGTCTACTCAAAAACACTTAATCCTGGGGACCTGTGGAATTGGTTTTTAGCTATTCCAGGCTCAAAGTAAATAGTAAATACACATAGGAATATGCTAGGCCTGCCTAAATAGTTTATGCTTTTCAAGAAATCAGGTCCATCCCATTTATTAATTCTTGATTTTTATTTCCTGCACTTTAGGAGTCTTGTTAAGGAAATCAGGGCCTAATCCAATGTGATGAAGATAGGCCTACTTTTTCCTCAGTTAGACTCAGGGTCTCTGGTCTAATTCCTAAGTTCCTGATCCACTTTGAGTTGAGTTTTGTGCATGGAGAGAGACAGGGGTTTAGTTTCATTTTGCTGCATATGAATTTCCAGTTCTCCCTGTTTCTCACAATGCACAAAACTCTAAAGTGGATCAGGAACTTAGGAATTTGTTGAAGAGGCTATCTTTTCTCCAATGCATGTTTTTGGTGCCTTTGCCTAGTATGAGATAACTGTATTTATGTGTCTATATCGTTCCTTGAAAAGGACTTAGATCTTTTATCTGTGTCTGTTAGTATATTTTCATTAACTGCTATCCCCCTGGGATAAGTATAAATGGATTTAAATAAATTTAAAAGAGTAGAAAATATATGTAGGATGACAGGAAGGTTTCATAGCTACATTTATTTACTAAATTAATTGTTCTATGTTATTCATCTGAGTTGTGATCAAAATTACAGATACATATTATGACCAATATTGTATTTGTTCTTTTTTATAATTACTACAATGTCAGTCACTCAAAAGAAGGTTCTTAATTAAATATGATTTTTAAAAAATCATTGAGAAGAGATAATAAAGTATTACCAATATCCTGCTCTGTTGAAGCATCTTCTCTACCAACATATGTCTGACCTTCCTGGGAAGAAAAGTCAAAGAACACTTATTAGTGAAAACAGGAGAAGGGTTCCTCCACTTTCCATTTAAGCCCAGGGAACCTGATGAACAATGCTGGGGTAGGCCTCAGTGCAATCATGGCTCAGTCTCTGCAACAATACTGCAGTGGGGGATCCAGAAAATGATAACTTAGCAATGGTTAGGCTTCCATCTTGGCATGTATCAATAATTTGCTAGCATCAGCAATTTCATCAATGTTCCTGATCTAGGGAGCTTCTCCTCCAGTGTCCAGGGGGTTTCTTTACATCTAAAGATATGGTACGTGAGTAGGTCACAAAACTCAAGTACAGTACCATTCTCCTAAAGAGGGCATTAAATTCAAGATCACAGAGACAGCCATTGATTCTGACATGGAACTCTGCCATTCAGACATGATTAACCTCCTTGGAACCAAGTCCAACAATGGGCCACACAATTTTATAATTACAACTAGGAACAAGAAAACTGTATATAAAACAAACCCAATTATAGGAGCTTGTAACTTTTCTTCCTCTTTCTACCTTTTTGTTCCTCACTTCCCTTTTCCTGACTCTCTGAAGCAGAAGCCAAAATGAATGACTCATCATTTAACTTCAGAACTACATAAACATGGGAACTTCAAGTACCAGAGAATCCCAGTGAACTGCTGAAATTCCCTAAAGGGCTCAAGAACTTGTTGTATATTCTTTAATTTAATAGCTGTATTCATGGCCATAAAGCATTATAATAAACCTTGCTAGTGTCTAAAGGGAAAACTGGAAGCAAAATGAGAATGTTCCACTTAAGCAGTTTCTACCTTCAAGTGATATAAGATGATTCCAGTACTCAGAAGGTCATCATCAATGCCAATCAAATGAGGCAGTTCAGAATCCAAAACAACTCCAATCCCCTCCTTCCTAAGGGCTAGAGTTTGTTCCTGAAATCGGGAGAAAAGGAAAAGGTTACTTTGGGGAAAGAGAACATCATATTTCATATTCCTTACATTGTTAATTGATGTCTTATTTCTTATTAAAAAACTGCAAGAAAAATGGACTTTAAACTTCATGTTGAAATCCTGGCAGGTGGTAAGCAAAGTGAACCTGAAACATATAAATAAAAAGCTCAATTTAAAATTAATTAGGCTTATAACGTGATATATAACTTTTCAAGGGCAATCTCACAGCCCATTTTCCTTAGGAAAGATTTCAGGATCACCCTGAAAGATTACTACAAAGTAATCTTTCTTCCTTCTTCAGAACCTTTGCACTACTTAAATTCTGGAAGTTTCCTTAACTGCATGTTTTTCTCTCTAGTTACTATGGTGAACTATGTATATTCTTGAGAGCAACCCTTGCCTGTGCATTAGGTATCCCTGTACCACAGGTGACCTCAGTCTCCTGAATCAGCAACTTCTCCCACCTACTGGATCATTCTCGCACACATACAAATCTGCTATAGCTCTCCCACCAACAACCACTATCCTGATCACCTCCCTTGGCCCTACCTTTCCCTCTAACTACCACCAATTTCTCCATGCCCTATGAGAGAAAATCACCAGTCAAATTTCCTTACACATGTGGCTCTCCAAGTTCTTCCCACTCTCTCTTTTGAACCCAGGAGGTGGTTTTAGACCTCTACCTATACTGACACCCTTTATCTCATCCTGACTCTTGACTCTAGCTGCCATCCACATACTAGACTCTCAAAACTGCCAAGGAAGATCTCTCCCTTAGATTCTGTACTTATGTATGTGTATCTCCTATTCAATACATCTGTGGGGATTTCAAACAGGCAGCTCAAACTTAACACAATAAGAAATACAACACAAACCTGTAGACTACCACATCTCAGTAAATGCCGACCTTGAACCAAAAACCAGGGCTTTACTTTGCTTTCTTTCTTTCTCTAAACCCTATGTCTACAGCATTGATTCCTACTTTCAAAATATGCTTCATATCTAGTAATACCAAACCACCTGCACCACTTCACCCAGGCCCAAATCATCATATTTCATCTGCATTACTGCAACAACCCAGGCCATCACTTATACCCCTTGTAATATATGCATAACCCAGGAGCCAAAGAGATAACAAAGCAGGTTACTCCTTTGCTCAGATCCCTTAAATCACCTCCAGTTTCACTGAGATACAAGCCCAAGTTTTCCTAATGTTTTGCAAACTCAAATGCTCTCATCACCCCCTAACCTGCATTTGTCTTCCATCACTGCCCTTCCCCACCTTGCTCACTCATATCTAGGAGCCATGATTCTTTGCTGCTCCTCAAGTTTGCCAGCCTGCCCCATCTTAAGGCTTGAATCACACTTTTACTTCTGCTTTTTTGACTACAGTTTCTTTTGTCATTGCTATCCCTCTCTTCCCTGAGAGCAGGGTCTCTTAGTCTCCACAAAATTGACATTTATAATTTCTTTATTCTCATGTACTAGTGGATATTTAGCAGAATCCCTGGCCACTATCCACTAAATGCTAGTAACAAACCACCCTCCCCCAAAGTGGTGACAACCAAAAACCAGACATTGCCAAATGTCCCCCTGGGGGACAAAATCGGCCCCAGTTGAGAAGTGCTTCCTTAGATACATACATAATTTGACCCATCACTACTCTGCTCAAAGACACCTTACCTATTGCCCCATACAAAACAGCAAGTACCCACCTTCCACATGCTGATTTGTATCTCTTCTTAGCAATTATTACACATGTAGAAACTCCTCAACTAATATTTGCCAAATGAATGAGTGGATAGATCCATGGAATTCAGAGCATGTTACTAGTGTGACCCCTCAGGGAAGGGACCATATCTTAACATCAAACCCAACTGGCCCAAAATAAAAGATTTCCAAAATCAGGTTTTTAGGGAAGTCCAAGTTGGGAAGAAGACACAATCCAGAGACCAAAGGTAAAATTTCAGTCTTGATGTTGAACTCTGATGAATTCAGACTGAGTCACACCTAAGAGCATGACAGTGTGCTCAGTGACTATGGAGCAAAAAGGAGCATGTTCCAAGCTATCAACAACCAGGGCTTCTGGTCATGCACATTTCTGGTGAACCTCTCCCCGGCCACCCACCATAGGACAACAATGACCAAGGCTCATCTCTATATCTCAGAACTGCACAAAACATAATTGCTATTCCTTACATTCCTGGCATGGAATAACATATTTTGGTGTCATTTAAATATTCAAACAACATGCAATCTGCCATTCCTTCAGTAAAAGAGTCAGAACTTCTCAAGCCAGTGTCAAAGCAAAACTCAAATCTTGCAGACAAGGGAGCTCCTATGAGATTCTAGGAGTGGGCAGTGAAGAGAGAAAGGGTCCTCAGGCCTTTCTCTCTACAGATATTTAAGTCTCAAATGCACACCCACAGACCTGGAGTCAATAGAATGAAGGCGATGAAATGAAGTGGCAAAAAAAAAAGATGGTTTAAAAAAAATACACACATAAAAAGCACCACTTGAAAGAAAGCAGTTTAATTTAACAACCATTAAATAGATACAGAGAAAATGACCACTGCATAACTTAGATTCAAGAAAAGGAAATGAAGCGTATCATTGTTCTTCAATTACTTCTCTTATCAGCCAGCTCTCATTCCATGGCTCAGAAGCTCAGGATCAGAGGTCAGAGACTTCAGTAACCTTGATTTACTATCCTGAGGCCTCTGCAAATCTTGGCTAAAATGAGCACTCTACATAAAACAACCCCTACTCCTACCTCTCAGACATCAGTAGAATTCATGCTTTTCTTCCTGCCCATAAAATTCAAGCAAAAGTGGGAAGTACATGATTTCTTTTTCAAAGATATATATTATAGTAGAGAATTTAATCACACAGCTCCATTTTATGAAACAATGCCCCTATTGGAAGGTCTGGTCTCTCTGAACTTCTAGAATAGTGCACGCAAGCTAAGTAGCCCTGTGGCAATGAATTCTTTCAGGCTTCTAGGTCCATATAAAAAGGAGAGTGATTATTCTCACAAGTCCAGAGGCATATGTATTTTCCTTCTGAAAAAAAAAAAAAGTGGACAATAAACCATCCCTTCCCCCCCCCACAAAAAAAGGCAATATTTTAAACTATAACAGTTCCTACTCAAACTAGACAAATTGCTTTGGACTACATCCACGTTTAGTTTAATGTTCTCAAAAAAAAAAAAAAAAAAAAAACCAACCCCACTGAAAAACACTTTTTTTCTTCCTTGATGTAAGTTTCATAGACTTTGAAAAGCACTGCAAATCTATAACTCCGGAGCCATTAGGTCAAAAGCATTATTTTTTCTGACCAATCCCCAATGTGATACACACACAAAAACACATAAAGCACATACTCACACACTCTTCCAGACATATAATAGGTAAAACATGAATTAAGAGAAAATTTTTCAAGATTGAGAGTGGGGGCAGATGAATTTATGATTAATGCTGCCCTAAAGCTCTATGACATTCAAGCTGCATTCAACTACAAGATATTATAAAAGTGTCACCTCATAAAACTGAGAATGAAGGTTTAAATCATTGCTCAAGTGAAAAAGTAATTTCAGACAAAAATATCTATCACGTATAAAATATTTATTGAGTGGCATCTACTGTTGTACATAATTTATGAAACACCTCTTGGATAAGATGGAATACTTAGCATAGTAGAGCTGGCCACTGTCCCCAACTCCTGGCATGCTGGATCCCAAAGAAAGAAAGAAGGAAAGAAAATACGTGGAATTGCACATATCTTGCAATGAGACAAAGCTTTCAGTAACCAAAATTAATTGAATAAAAAAAGACACTATAGACTGATTAGAAGTGTCAAAACATAAATATTATGTTCATTACATTAGCAAATAATATACTCATCCTGGAGCATGGTGGCACACACCTGTAATCCCAGCAACTTAAGAGGCTAAGGCAAGAGGATTACAAGTTCAAGGCCAGCCTCAGTAATGTAGCAAAACCCTCAGCAACTAGTGAGACCCTGTCTCAAAAAATAAAAAGGACTGGGGATGTAGCTCAGTGGTTAAATGCCTCTGGGTTAGATTCCCAGTATACCCCCCCCCCCCAAAAAAAAAAAAAAAAAAAAAACACCACCTTTCCTTCTACCTCCAGACACTATTCAGTTAAAATACCCCTGAATTTAAAACACTTGTCCAATTCACAATAGCTAGACTGTGGAACCAACCCAGATGCCCTTCAATAGATGAATGGATTAAAAAAAATGTGGCATTTATACACAATGGAATAGTACTCAGCACTAAAAAATAACAAAATCATGGCATTTGCAGGGAAATGGATAGCATTAGAGCAAATTATGCTAAGTGAAGCTAGCCAATCCCTAAAAAACAAATGCAGAATGTCTTCTTTGATATAAGGGGGGGGGGACTCAAAACAGAGCAGGGAGGAAGAGCATGAGAAGAAGATTACCATTAAATAGGGATGAGAGGTGCATGGGAATGGGAGAGAGAAGGGGAATTGCACAGAAGATGGTAGGAGACCCTCATTGTTATGCAAAATTACATATAAGATGGTGTGAGGGGAAAGAAAAAAAAGAGAGAGAGAGAAATGTGTCAGAGTAGATTGGGTAGAAAGAGGGGAGGGGAAGGGAGGGGAGGGGGAGATAGGAAGGGTAGCAGAATACAATAGACACTAGTATGGCCCTATGTGTAAACGTGGCTGTATAACCAATGTGATCCTGCAATCTGTACACGTGGAAAAATAAGATTACATACCCCATTTGAATCAAATGTATGATATGTCAAGATCATTGTAATGTTTTGAGCAACTAATAAAAAAAATTAAAAAAAATAAAATAAAACATTTGTCCAGTGCTGGGGCTGACACAAAATCACCTATGCTGCATTCTGGGGGCTGTGGTGAGTTGCAAACAGGGCTGCCTAGATTCTGGGGGTAATTTGACTCACTAGGAGAATCCTTTGTAAC